AGCTGCTGCAAGCCCAGTTGCTGTCAGTCCAGCTGCTGTAAGCCTTGCTGCTGTGAATCCAGCTGTTGCAAGCCCTGCTGCTGCCAGTCCAGCTGTTGCAAGCCCTGCTGCTGCCAGTCCAGCTGCTGCAAGCCCAGTTGCTCTCAGTCCAGCTGTTGTGTCCCTGTTTGCTGCCAGTGCAAAATCTAAAGCTCCAGTCAGAGACTCCAGTGACACCAGACCTTGTGAGTTCCCTTGGCCATGACCAGTGACACTTTCAGATCCCTGAATTGGAAACCCTTGTCAATCTTTTCCATTTGATACTTCAGGGTCAGAACCATAGCTCTCTGGATCCAGATGGAGACCAGGTGACCACTTCACGTCCTCGAACACCTTAGAATCACCTGCCCACTCATTCTCCAGAGGAGTCTTCCTCCTTCCTCATCCATTTCTCATCTGCAGCCTCAATGGGACTCTGAGTCTAAAGGCATCCGCATCTATCCTAGTGAACTCCATGTAGGAGAGTACTGTTACCAACAAAGACTCGCCACTGCCCCTCTTTGACACCCTTCTCTCCACCACCTGCAGCATCTGAACTACAACTGATGTCAGGCCATGGATGTCCCTGGGGGCTGCCCAGCATCCAAGGCCACTTTCTGGACCTTCCTCCCTAACACCTGCTCACTCAATTCTCTGTCCACCAAGGTCTACTCTAGACCCCCCACCCCGAAATAAACGTGCTCTCCAACCATAATCCTTGATCTTAGTGTGATTCTTTTCTTACTGCCTGGAAGGGAAAATGCCCACGTCCTGGTGAAAACGTGAAGTGTTACAAGGTGGACGAATTTTAGCCTTAGAACGGACTTATCTTTTTAGAAACTGTACAAAGAATAAATATTCCTTATTCATCAGATAAATAAATATGGAAATGGCCACCATTATATCTTATTTATACTAGAAATAATTGGGGGGTTGCCTAAAGAATGGCAGTTGTGACATTCACAGGGTGCATACTAAACAGAGAAAACAAAGACCTCTCGTGTCGATATCTGACGTAAACGCTTGATATTAGTGGGACAGCCTCTGTTGGCTTGAGTGTGCCTGGCTGTGTCACGATGACGTATCTCTAAGCGGCACATCCTGCCTGTGTTTTCGTTCCCTTTTCCTGAGCAAACAGGACTGGATTCCTAATTCCTCTCTTCCTCTTTCAATTGGCCCCTGCCTCTCTAACACACGTACAGATAAACTCCTGCCAAAATACCCACTTCTTGTTGCTTTCCACTTACCCTTTTTGCACCTGCCAAGTCATTCTGTTTAACAATATGGTCTATAACAGATGCAAATCTCTCTCTCTTTCCAGGAGTCAATTACAATATTAAAAGAATTGATAAATATGAAAAGAAATGATAATCCAAAACACGATGGCATACAATTTTAAAACATGAGAACATGTTACAGAGCTGAAGGGACCATCTCCCGTCCATAGTTACTGGGCAGTGGGTCATTCCGTTGAAACCTGTTTTATAGCAAAGGTAGAAGAGGAAAGGTGGGAAGGATTTCTTTTTATTGTTTACTCATGTATGCATGAGTATATAAAAGTTTGTTGTTGTTGTTGTTGTTGTTGCTGTTGTTGTTGTTGTTCTTGTTGTGTGCCATCAAGTCTCCTGTGACTCATAGCAACCCTGTGTACAACAGACCTAAAGGCTTCTTTATCCTAAGACAATCTCAGTGTCTCCAACATACTGACCCCCCCCCACCCATCATTGAGTCAATCCATCTCATTGAGGGTCTTCCTCTCCTGTGCTGTCACTTGAACCTCCCAAGCATGACCTCCTTCTCTAAGGACTGGTCCTTCCTTGCAACATGTCCAAAGTATGTCAGAGGGAGATTCAGAATCCTTGCCTCCCAGGAGCAGCCTGGCTTCACTCTCTCCAGGATGAACCTGTTTGTTCTCTTAGCAGCCCATGGTATATTCAATACTCTTCTCCAGCACCACAGCTCAGCCAGGTTTACTGTCCAGCTCTCTGATGCATAACAAATGATTGCAAAGACCATGACCTGTATCAGGTGCACCTTAGCCTCCAGACTGACATCGTTGTTCTTCAGTACTTTGGAGAGGTCTCTGACAGCAGATATTCCCAGTACCATTTGTCTTTTAATTTCCTGGCTGCTGGTGCCAAGAGTGTTGATTGGTAGAGCCAAGCAAACTAAAGCTGTTAACAATCTGAATCTCTTCACCATCTATCATGATGTTGCCAATTGGCCCAGTGGTGAAAATCTTAGTTTTCTTGATGTTGAGCTTCAATCCATATAGAAGGCTGCCGTCTTTGACCTTCTGCAGCAAGTGCTTCAGGTCCTCCTTAGTTTCAGCAAGCAGGGTTGTGTCATCTGTATAATGCAGACTGTTGATCAGTCTTCCTCCAATCTTGAGACCACATTTCTCCTCATAGAGCCCAGCCTCCAGAATGGTCAATTCTGCATATAGATTATAAAGGAAAGGAGATAGGACACATCCCTAGTGTCTACCCTTCCCAATTTTGAACCATGCAGTACTTCCATGCTCTGTTCTGACAACTGCCTCCTGGTCCAAGTATAGGTTTAGCATAAGCACAGTCAAGTGTTCTGGGACTCCCATTCTTTTCAGAGTCAGCCACAGTTTATTGTGGTCCACACAGTCAAATGCCTTTGCATAATCAATGAAACACAGATAGACATTCCTCTGGTATTCCCTGCTTTCAGCCAAGATCCGTCTAACATTAGCTATAATATCCCTAGGACCACAGCCTCTTCTAAACCCAGGCTGCACTTAGGGCAGTCCTCTGCTGATGTGCTGTTCCACTCGTTTTATCTCCCTTGTATTTAAAAGTCAGTCAGGCCAAAGAATCAAGTGTTATTTTACTTTGGAGGGATATTCTTCTAAGTTATCAAGCACTCCTCTGTCATTTTGCCGCACGGAGGTAACCTGGGGTTGCTGTGACGCTGAGCCCTGTGCTAGTGGAGGTCGGATGTTACAATGGCTGCACGGTGTGGACAGTGTTTGGTGGAGCTCCCAGTTTAATACAGGTTTGAACACAGGAGTGACATCCACTTCCTAAATCACATGCCTCTGAAAATTCTATGAACTTAGAGAAATGACAATAATTATAGAAAGGCTTCAGGCCTTCTGTACATAGAGGCCCTCTGAGTCATACTCGACTCGGTGGCAATAAACAACAACAACAATGTATGAGAATGACTGTATGAAACACAATGTGAATGAAGAATAGTGTGAAACATAATATAGTATATATAAAATTTGTAAGCAAACTAATTAAAAAATAATACATAATAGAATGTATATTCATGATTGTATTAAATATAATGTAAATGAAAGGTTGTATGAAAAAATGCATATTAATGAAACAAAATGTAAAGGAGTTATTATATGAAAAATAATAAAAAATATTTTTTAACTTTTTTTTTAAATAATTGTAATGAACATTTACAGAGATTTTGGATTTCCATTCATTCATTGCCACCCTTCTCTCCCCGCCCAGCCCTCCCCGCCCCCCACTTCACTCCTCTCTTTCAAAAGTAAAAGAAAGACTCCCTTCCTGGTACACAATCTGCTTGCACCCCTCCCACTGCCCCAAGTACATTCCACTATGCAACCTTAATTGTGGACTCTTGTGATAACCATAATAACCTATCATACATCACTTTTAAATTATTCTCTCCCTCATCTGTTTCAGTGTAGTATACACAATTTATCCAGTTTGTCTCAGTCTTACCCCAACCCTGATATCAGTCCCATTTTACAGCAGTGGCACCATGCAATATGTGTGCTTTTGTGACTGAGATATTTCACTTAGCATAATGTTCTCCAGGGTCACCCATTTTGAGTAACATTGCATGAGTTCCTTGTTTTTCAATACAGCATAGTATTCCATTGTGTGAATATACCACAGATTTTCTATCCATTCGTTTGTTGATGGGCACCTGGTTTGTTTCCAACTCCTTGCTATTGTGAACAAAGCCACGATAAACATGGGTGTGCATATATCTGCTTGGATGTCAGCTATGGTCTCGTCAGGGTATATTCCCAGTAGTGGAATTGCTGGGTCAAATGGTATCTCTATTTGCAGCTTTTTGAGAAAGCGCCATACTGCTTTCCACAGGGGTTGCACCGTTTTACACTCCCACCAACAGTGAATAAGGGTTCCAGTTTCTCCACAACCTCGCCAGCATTTGTTGCTTGCTGTTCTGTTAAATTTTGCTATTCTGACTGGGGTGAGATGTTATCTCAGAGTTGTTTTGACTTGCATCTCTCTTAGAGCTAGGGATTTTGAACATTTCTTCATCTGCTTCTTGGCCATCTGAATGTCTTCTTTGGTGAAGTTTAATAAAAAATATTTTTAAAAATAACTTTTTATATCACATGTAAGCAAGATTCTGCTGAAGATTATGCAAAAATGACTGGAATAGCACATCAACAAAGAACTCCCTGAAGTGCAGGCTGGGTTTAGAAGAGGCTGTGGCACTAAGGATATTCTAGCTAGTGTCAGATGGATCTTGGCTGAAAGCAGGAAATACCAGAGCAATGTCTGCCCATGTTTCATTGACTATGCAAAGGCATTTGACTGTGTGGACCACAACAAACTGTGGCTGACTCTGAGAAGAATGGGGAATTCTAGAACACTTGATTTTGCTTATGCTAAACCTATACTTGGACCAGGAGGAATAGACCAGAATAGACCAAGGGAAAAAAGCATGGTTCAAAATTGGGAAGGGTGTACACTAGGAATGTGTCCTATCTCCTTTCTTTTTCAATCTATATGCAGAACAGATTATCCAGGAGGCTGGGCTCTGTGAGGAGAAATGTGGCATCATGATTGGACGAAGATTCATCAACAACCTGCGTTATGCAGATGACACACCCCTGCTTACTGAAACTGAGGAGGACCTGAAGTGCTTGCTGCAGAAGGCCAAGGACTGCAGTCTTCAATATGGATTCAAGCTCAACACCAAGAAAACTAAGATTTTCACCACTAGGCCAATTGGCAGCATCATGATAGATGGTGAAGAGATTCAGATTGTTAACAGCTTTAGTTTGCTTGGCTCCGCCAATCAACACTCTTGGCACCAGCAGCCAGGAAATTAAAAGATTAATGCATTGGGAAAGTCTTCTCTCGGAGACGTCTCCAAAGTACAGGAAGAGCAACGGTGTCAGT